CGGAAATGAAAGTGGATTCCAAGTGAATACAATTAACTCTGAATTCAGCACAAGACCACACACACGGTAACACTGATGAGAGCTGGTTTGTGGTTAACGCACAGGACATCAACACTTAGATTAATGGTAACAAAATAATAATTGTGCCCTATAAAACGCTGAGAATAGACGTAGAATTTTGTTTCCAAGTTCCTTCTATACACAAACTACTCTCGATAGTATTGTCATTCAATTCATAATATTTTCCATCAACTTGAACTTTCGAAACAGCAGGACGATAACGTGATGTGCAGAGAAACTTCTGCTGACATATGGAAGCATCTCAATGCATAAAATTTCCCAAGACCAGGCGATAAAATTCACTTTATAATAATAATCCGTACAGGTCTTCTTCATAAAACCACAGTTATACGAAACGACAAAATTCGAAAAACTTCGACGCCATGATTTCTAGCTCGCCTCTGTGCCGACCGACTGCACTTTCCTAAGGAGATCACCAGCGGCTTAACGAGAAAACAGCACGAATCCGGGGCTACTCAGGTTAAAAATAATAGCACATTAAATATGACAAACCCAGCTAAGTCTTAAGCAGCAATACATTGACAAATACAGGCCAACCTTCCACGGAGCAAAGTCCTTCTCGAGGAGACGACAGTTATTCAGCTAGCTAAGAAATTTCAAGCTCTTTACGGATCCCAAATGTTCATAACCGTGTTCACATAAACCACGAGTGGAAGTTACCCTGCACGAAATAAACCCACTCCACACACACTCATGACATATTTAAGATTCATTTTAATATTATCCTCCCATCCACAAATTTTCAATTACAATTTATGTGCCTTTCTGATCTCCGCAAGCGTTCTACACGTCTCACCCATCTCGTCCTCCATACATCTGATCATTCTAATAATATTTTATGAAAATCGCAAGTTCGTAGTTACGCAAATTTCTCAGGTGTTTCTTAAACAGTGCCTAATAATATTAAAACGTAATCACAGGACCGTTCTCTATTTATATTGTAGACCAAGGATGTAAGTTGTTACTATTATTCCAGGAAGAAATCTTCACTGTTCTTGGCTTCTGTTCTCTCCGGTATTTAAAAGTTCAAGTATGTTATTGCATCGCTGTGAATATTCAACTAAACCCTGGCGCTAAAAAGTTCCTAGGTTCGAATTTTAAAATGAAAATAGAACGGAAACCGCAAATATAAGTCAGACAATTGTTCAAACATTAAATATAACTTAGTTTTAAGCATTCCACAAGCCACTACGAACAGAAAGACAGACAATACCACGAAAGAAGACTGCCTAAAAACTGAAGGACTTGCGGTAAGAGTGAAATCCGTATTCCATGAAATTAAAGCTCCGTATCTCTGTCAGAATCTCTTCAAACAATGGAACATTCTTCAACAGTCAGGAAAGGGCACATCTCAGCTTTCTGCAACAACATTACGTTGAAATGTGCAGACGGCTGAATACGTGGCCCTCGGCAGTGTCTCAAAGTTTGCTAACAGCATCACGGCGACTGACTGGACAACTAACTAAGCGATCACTAACTACTTAACTAAGTACCTAACTGACGCAGCTACCAACTGGTTTATCTATCATATAATTAAGAAACTAATTCACTAAGCTAATAATTAACTCGCTACGTACCTAGTAACTAACTACTCAACCGAGCAATGGAGTGATTAGCTTCATAAATATTTAACTTCGTCCTTGACTGAGTAATTAACTAATTAATTAAGTCAATAATTAAATAAGTAAAAGATCCACTGACTGCACTATTCGCTACCTACATAGCTGATGGATTCATTAATTACGACTAAGAAACTAATTAGTGCACTAACTACTTAACACGATGACACAGAGAATACTTTCTCTCTCTGTCGGGAATTAAACAGAAAAATTAATAAAACCAGAAGTGAATACAAAGAAAAGAACGTAATAAACAACATGTGCGAATAATTGAGAATGTAGAATGAAGACCCGTGTGTGGTTTGGACGACGGCGTTTGAAACTTATCCTACTGGGCGCTCCTACGCAGCCATCCCGAAGCGATTACAAACATCTGAGGTCACCACCACCAGAAAACGGAGTGGATAAACAGCTCGTAAAAGGGAACACAGACAGGACAGGAAGCTGAAGGGAACAGCGGAATACGTATAGCCCGAAGAAAGTGTTCAGGCCGTCCATCCATGTCACTACTTCCCGCGGCCTCAGAGCACATATCTGTCCATTTGTATTCACATTGGGCGCGGCAGTCACAATGAACTAGACGATGTCGAAGTTACCATTTATAAGACTCCGTGTACGTCGCGCTTGGTCTCACGAGGATCGCGGGTGCCACTGAGTGAGCTAACAGCCTAATATGCTGAGGAGAATTTGAAATGCAGTTTGGTGATAAACTACTCGGGGCGGACACATTCAGGTACAACCGCGAAGTCCCTCCCAGAAGACACAAGGGGTAAAACCTGAGATTCTATAGGTCTTCACGACGGCGAGTATGAAGACAGCTGTCTTCTAGATTGTTACGCCATGTACTCTGCACACTTCTGAAACGTCGGCACAACCAAGAAACAGCCGACCTCGAATAAAACCTGGATTACTCAGAGCTGTGACTTGAGAGTCGTAGTTCAATCACAAGGCACACGCAGGCAATTACAGACTCTCTTGAGGAAGACAAAAAGTTGTCGTCTCCTGTTGGTTAATTAGATGTCAGTCGGTGCATCAGACGTAATAAACAAGCTCTGTGAAACATCGCGAAAATTTAACGTACGGACACAATCATTGGCGTCTTGCCTTATACGTATCAAATCGCGATGGAATCAGTAGTATGAACAAGTAGTATCTCAGCTGTCAAACATCTTGAGGCCTGATCGTGCAATGAACACCAGATACTAAATGAACAACTTAAGAATACACCAAGAAAAGAACAATTTCATCAGCGCGTAGGCCTATTAATCAGTACACAAACCAACAAATTAAATAATTTAGTACAAGAGGTCGGCCTCTAGAGTTCTTCAAATAGTTTTCCATTTTTACGGAACAGAAACAATTATAACCGTATTCAAAAAAGCTCGCCGGACGCCAAGACGGCTTACAGAAGAAATTGCTATCGGATATGAATTTAAGCTACTTCCATTTAAAATCCACAGTCTGTATTCTTAAGACCCATCTTAGTATATCTCTGATGATCTCAAAGTAAATCCTTATAAGATGTTTTCCTACCAAAATTTCTTATACATTTGTTGTCTTTCCCCATCCGAATTACACTGGGAGAGTCTGTTACATGCGGGGATAGACTTTCTTCTGATTTCATTTCTTGTACCGTAATACGTCGTTGTTTAAGGGTTCCTCTCTTCAAAACTAGACTCTGTATAAACCTTCACGGCTTGGTGCAGAGTTCAAACAAAACTTTCCTAATAGGTGGAAATCACATAAAACTTCACTAGAGAAGGAGAGCTCGTATAAAACAAACTTCCCTGTAACATTCCTTCAACAGAACATACGTAGCAAATATATTTTATGAAATAATCCTACAGATGCCTCGACTCTGGGCAGAAGATAATTTTAGTAACTGAAACAATGAAGCAATTGGTCGGTGGTAAATGCAAACGGGAAAAATACAGCTGCAGTTGAAATTCTGGTAACACTGCCCGAATTTATAAATTTTTAAAGACGTTCCCAAGTTAATGGGATTACTTTTATTAACTAATTGAAACTAAGCCCATTATAACGGAGTTGATCGCTCGAAATTTTATTATAGTTACTTTTTTAAATATTAGTTAGGTGGTTGGTTAGTTACTTAGCCAACTGGATATTTATTTACATACCTTCCTCTTCCCAAAGATGAAAATTCAGCTAAAGGGAAGGAGATTTGAGACGATAGAAGAGATTCAGGCAGAATCGCAGATGGTGCTTGACAGGCTGACAAAGAAAGATTTCCAGGGATGCTTCCAGGCTTGGCAGCGGCGCTGGGATCGTTGTGTTCACTCCCAGGGGAACTACTTCGAGGGTGATGGATGAATTTAATACCTGAGATAAGTGTACGGGTTTTTATACGCGCAGTCTTGAAACTTTCCGATCGCACCTCGTATATGCCTAGTAACCTTACATGTGATACTGAACAAATTTAAATTATCCATTTTAAATTCCGTGTATGAATAACCTACGCGGTATGAGCATTTTTATTTTGTGAAATAAAGACACACATGGGATCTAAGCCCATAGCATTGCGCATGCTCGCAAAACAAATTAAAGCAAAAGGCCGATAGGTGGAACTATGCAAAGTATGCAATCGTAAATTTATAACGTTTCTACTTTTACAGTGCATTTCACTGGTAGAAAAATAACAACACAACAAATTTACAAAACTGTTCTATTTGTTTTTGAAGCAACAGTACCTTCTTAAGATTAAATTCTTAACCATACTTTATAATACAAGTCTAGGAGATTATGCAGGCGCCCGACTGTAAAGTGAATATTTTAAAGCGAATGCCTGCCAAAGCAGCAATGTTAACTTCACACACAAATGTAAAATTCATCCATAAAATATGCATTATATGTTCCAGGCCTATACCTGAACCTTTCTACTTCATTTCACGATTAATAAAAGAGAAACCAGTGGCTAAGATATTTCGAGTCCTTCCACGTAACAAGTAGCATGGGGCAGACGTCCAGACTGAAACTAAGGGCAACTTGATAACTTAGTTGAGGGCGTAACTCAGTTTTTTATTAGACGGACATTACAAAAAAAAAAATACA